GTGATGGGAAACCCGCGGGGATTACAATCGAGATGGAAAAAAGAAAAATGTGCAAAATGATGTAAAAATAAACTTTTGTAATAATTAAAAAAAAATGCAGCAGGGGCACACCACAATGGGTGGAGTGTGTACAAGACACACAACAGAATCCCTACACAATATATAGAATATTCTGTAATAACAAGGGAACTGCAGCACAAACCTGCAATTTAGGACTAGGAGGGTAGATTTAGACAGAAATGATAGCTCTCTCACTCATCAACAAAACTCCAGTCACTTACTTACCTGAACTTTGATCTCCGTAGCTGTCACAAGGAGATAACAATACTCCTACCCGTGAGGTAGCTGTGGGGCTGGAGACCCTAATGTATGCATACAGAGTGTTAGCCTGTCACCTGGTGCACAGTAAGCGACCACTCCATGATGACCACTGTGACGTTATTTGCAACAAGTGATTCTGGAGGAGGGTTGGCCAACAGGCCCACTGGCCGAGGCTGGAACCGTGGCTCCCATGATACATTTCTCACTGTCAACTGACAAACTGCCGTCCTGAAGTCACACTTCAGTGAATGCAGTGGGAGAGTGTGAATGCATCTCTCAGAAAGGTCTACGTGCTTGGTTATTGACCCATTTCCAGTTTCTGAGGCCACACTGCCTCTGGTCAGCTCCCGGCCATGGTGATACACAAAGGTCACGAGAACTTCTTGGCGAGGGCCCTTATCCCCACATCCTCTCTGCATTGCCAAAACCATGTCTCTCCTCAGATTCTAAATGTCCTTTCAGGAACAGTACAGAAAATGCTACAGCCAGAGCGCTGGTATCACCACAGTGAGGCATAGCCTCAGCTGGCTGGCTAGAATGAAGACTAAAATATTTTCTGTGCCAAGTAATAACATGAAAAACCCATGACTGAATGAGGACAAAAAGAAAACCAGAGACTAAGTCTTATGTGCGATTACCACTTAGACTATAGGAAAATAGAAAGATACCCCAAAGCTAATAATAATTGTTCTAAGTATGGAACTTTTCTTTTTCCTTTTTGGAATTTTGTATGCCATATTTCTGTCCTTTTATAATGAAATTAGCATTTTCTTTTAAGGAGGTGGAGAGATGCGGTAATTGACTACAGAAGCCAAAAACAAAACAAAACAATCTTAGGAAGTTTCGGCATAGTCTCATACTCACTAAAGAGTCACATTCAAAAATTTGAGATCTGTGTTAGTGAGAGGGAAGCACTTTCTCTCTAGATACAGTGAAGTTCCTGGATCAGACCACAGAAAGAAACTTGACACAGGAAGTGGTTATGTAGAGCAGCCTGTGTTTAGGCTACTGTGAAGCTAATACCAGATGACCTGAACGCAGCACAACACCTAAGAAGAGAAACGTGTGCATTTACTCTATGCCAGGCATTAGCATTAAATCACTTGTATCACCTTATTTAATTCTTACCTCCAACTTGTCAGGAAAGACTCATTAGTCCCCTCATTTTATAAATGAGAAAATAGAAGGCTTAGATGAAGTCACTTGCCCAAACCCCTGCACAATTGGGAAGTGGTGGAGTTGGGGTCTGGGCCCAGCAGTCAGTTTTAAAGTCTGAACTCTTCCCTCACCCCTCATATAGAATTTTCCTTCACGTTCTTCCCCTTTATGCCTGGGCGTATCTAACTCAAACTCCTGAAATCTGCACAGTTCCTTCTGGTGACAGTCTACCTATGCCACATACCTCCTGTCCCTTTTCTTGGGGCTGTCAAATGGCTTCCTGCAGGTCTGTTCTCCTCAGAGCCAGACAACAGTCTGCAGGCTCCTGCACCAATCAGACAACCTCTTGTGGACTTAATCGCAGGAGGTTTAATTGGTAGGATTAACAATCTTTTTTTCGGAAAAAAATCTCAATCTTGAGCACTGAGCCTGGGAGCATTGTTTTTTCTACAAGCTACTTTAGAGGTGACAGATGCAATATAGCTGAGTGAAGGGACTGCTGATCCTAGAAGGACTTTAGCGTTAGAAGCAGAAAGCACCAGACAGAACATACGTCTAGTCTCTAACACCTATCCAGCCATCTTTCCAAAGACATTTCCTTGCCTAATACATGCCCAATATAGCCTGCTTCTCAGTTATATTGGTAGAAATTTAGAACTGAAGAAATTCTCAGCAACTTTCCTATACAACTGTAAAAGACAATGTATTTATTTTACAATGTTGCTGTAAGAATTAATGAGATGATGCAACCCAACACAGCAGGTACATTCCCAGGAATATACTATATAATACTCACTGACTCTCATTACCACGCAAACATTATCAGAATCCTGCCAAGACAATGTTATCTAGAATTCATACTGAAATAGAGATGATTTTGATTTTCCATCTCCTTGTAATTTTCTATTTTGCTTTCAATGAGTATTTATTGTTTTTATGATTTAAAAAAATGCAATGATTTTTTTTAAAAGGTTTTTTTTTTTGGTAAGGTAATTTCTGGTTGGTGCTTGAGAAAAGGTCATCAGATGGGACTGATTAATAATAACACTTAAGTAAAAGATTTATTTATTTATGCACACAGAACTGGAGTATAGGCCAGAGGTGCAAGGGCAGTGAGAGGCTTCGTGAGAGACAGAGTGGGGAGCAGGATAGGCAGATCAACGAAGTACACGGCTGAGGAGAGGTCTACTGCGCCATGTGGATCACCTCCTAGGCAGGGGATAGAACTCACACTGAAGCAGCTGCAGCTAGCTTGCAGTGCTGCATCCTAAACTGTTGCACCACCAGGGTTTTCAGTCAAAGCTGTCTTTGACTGAAGTGAAAAGGAATTGTTTCTGTAGAGAACAAATTCAGGTAACAGGGAAGGAGCTATTTAGGGCAGAACTAACCACCTTTTGTTCTTTCTAGCAGCCTGGCCTAGAGTTAATTTCAAAATGACTTTATAATTTGGTTTTCCTCCTCTCAACTCAGCCACTCTTTTCTGAATACCTTGCCTGCTATTTTCAGGCACAGTGCTAGGCAATGAGGGAACATAAAGGCAATTAAAAGCATAATCCTTGCACTCAAGAGTTTATTTCAATCCTTTCTTATATTTTATGACTGCGATTTGTTTTCAAATATGCTAGTTCCACATAAAATATGCATAAAAAATATAGGTAAAACACTATATGACATACATCTGAGTAACACCTTTAAAGGCACATTTCCCAAAGCAAAGACAGCAAAGGAAAACAGGTGGGATTACATCAAACTGAAAAGCTTCTACACAGCATAAGAGACATTAACCAAAACAAAGAGACACCAAACTGATATGGAGAAAGATATTGTACGCAAGACAACTGATGAGGGACTCATCACAAAGATCTACAAAGAGCTCCAGAACTCAACAAAAACAAAGTAAACAATCCAGTGAAAAAATGGGGAGAAGAAAAAAAGACAATTCCCCAAAGAAGAAATGCAAATGGCCAACAGTTATATTAAAAAATATCTGTTGAAAGGCAGATTTTTATATTTACTTTATCAATCTTTTATATATTTATTATATTGATACAAATATACATAAATTTATTGTATTTAATATATTTATTGTATTTATTTAAGTGATGTCACTTATAATCCATGAAATACAAATCAAAACCACAATGAGATACCACCTTACATCAGTGAGAATGGCACATATTAAAAAAAAAAAAAAAAAAAAAAAGAGCTATTGAGAATGTGGAGAAAAAGGAACTCTACTGCACTGCCCGTGGGAATGCAAACTGGCCCAAACACCATGGAAAGCTGTGTGGAGTTCCCTCAGGAACTACCCTATGACCCACCAATTCCATGCCTAGGAATCTACCCAAAGGACACAAAAACATTAATTCAAAAGGACACCTGCACCCCTATATTTATCGCAGCATTATTTACAACAGGCAATATTTGGGTTGTGTAACCCAAATGTCCAAAAGAGATGACCAGATCAAGAAAATATACACACACATTACAATGGAATATTACTCAGTAATCACAAAAGATAAATACATGCCATTCACAGCAACACAGATGGAGCCAAAAAGGATTATGCTCAGTGAAATAAGCCCAGAAAAAAAAATATATATCAATAGTTTCACTTATCTGAGCACTACAGGGGGACCAAATAAGGGATTGGAAATAACCAAATAAGGAAAAAATAATAATAATAAATTTATTTTTAATTAGCAGGCAACTATAAATCAGAGACATTCTGCAAGGGAAGGGGAAAGGGAAAAATCAAAACAGGGGAGGAAAAAGCACAAGGGACTATGGTAATGGTTCACAGTTGAACTAGTGGTGGGAATTTTATAGGGGAATATATCTGAAGGGAGAAAGAACACAAGCACACCTTGAAGAAAAAAAAGTAACAGTAATGTTACACATACACACACACATAAAATTAAAAAACAAACAAATATACTAGCTCTACCCCTCAAAATGGAAGAAAAGATGAAACAAGATTGGTCAAATATTGAGAAGTATTGGTAATAAGTAGTATTAATAGGCAACTGAAGTTAATCTCTGTATGTTTATGTATGCTTGAAATTTTCCATAATGAAAAAAAAAAAAAGTAGCATGGGAGCCTCCCTGGTGGTGCAAGGGGTTAAGTCTCAGCACTATGAAGCTATCAGCAGCTACTGCAGCACAATTTGGATGCCGACCAGCAAGCTAACCCACATGGCACAGCAGACCTCTCCCTCCTGTCTCACCCATTGTCCCCCTCAGCAGTGTATTTCAGGCAGTCTGTTCTGCTCCCCAATCTTCTGTCTCTGGTGAATTCTCTCACCCCTCCTCCCCACACCCCTGGATTATACTCCAGCTCCTTAAAAAAAAAACTAGCATGGAAGATGTTATAACAAAATGTTGCAGGGGGATGGGATATGAGAATAGATGGGGGGAACACCAGTTGTCACTCCATAAATATTTACCAAGCACTTAGGCACAGGGACAAAGTATGTGGTCTTCATTCAGCAGCCATTTTTGCAACTTCTCTCCAAGTCTAAATTGAAAATAAAAACCTGCTTAATAACCAAAAACTGGGGGCCCTTTATGGTGGCGCAGCAGGTTAAAGTACAGCACTAAGAAGCTAAGGCCACTTCCACATGAGTTTAATTGCCACCTGCCCCGGAGGTGACCACATGGCGTGGCAGACCTCTCCCGACCCGCCCGCTGCTCCCCTCAGCAGTGTACTTCGTCAATCTGCCTGTTCTGCTCCCCACTCTGTCTATGGTGAAACCTCTCGTCACCCCTGAGCCTCTGGACTGTACCCCAGTTCTGTATGCACAAATAAATAAATCTTAAAAAAAAAAAATGGTGTTTTAAAAACTGAACTTTATGTAAAGGTACTCATGAAAGCTAAGTGGGAAAAAGAACAAATTATAAAAATGTTAATGGCATACAATCCCCATCAGGCCACAGGTGGTGAGTGTATATGTCTTATGTGTATATGTAAGGCCCTTTAATTACAGAATTTATGGAAATTTTGTTTCTCCCATCATTTTAACTTTTCTAAAGTAGGATTGTTATGATGAAAAACAATGTTTTTTCTGACTAAATAACTATACAGTTTGCCTTTAAAATATGTTAAAAATTAGAGATGACATTAACAGGCAGGAAATGACTTCTAGTTACATAAGTCTAGCAGCAAGTCCTTCATGTCATCTTTAAGGAAATCTGTCCTCAGTAAGCCCCAATATGATGGATGGTAACTGCACTTGGGATCATTCTGTAATATATACATTTATGGAATTATTATGCTGTACAACTAAAAATGAAATAATCTTATATGTCAACTATATCACATTAAAAGTTAATAAATAAGTAGGTCTCAACAAGCCTAATCTCAAAGAAAAAAACTCAGAGACTGACAATCATTTCGATAGCAGAGAATAGGGTCTCTATTTGAAATTGCTACCACTAGGCTCCACCCCCAGAGGTTTTATTTCAAAGGCCTGAGATGGATCCTTTGTGGAGGAAATCCAAATTTTCAACGGGAACCCAGGTAGGTTTGAGAAATTACTATTCATTGATGGCTTTTAAAAAAGCAAACCACCCTGACTTTCTCTGAAGTCCCCACTTTGAATAAGACATCTCCCAAGACATTATGATTAGTTCTCAAATCATTTACAAGCAACTATGGGAAAAGCACACCTTAGATCACCTTAACACAGATTCCAAGTGTCACATAAATACAGCAAGTGTCATATAAAATACAAGTTTTTATTGTTCCTATCTCAAGATTATTATGTTCAGTTCTCTTTACCAGGTGACTTAAATCTGAGTACTGTGTGAATTGCCTCTCTTTGCATGGTTTTTAAAAGATATACATATGAAATTGTGGCCCACTAAAGCCTTATCTCCTCTACCTCCATATTCCAAAAACCCTGCCCAGCCTGGCCTGTCTACAACATCCTTCACCCCTCTTTTTTTAAAACACAATTTCACAGCCTGGACCCTGAGTCGTATTCACCCTTAGGTGAATCTCAAGTTACTATCTTCTTCCTCCTCCTTTACAATTCCAAACAGGTGAGGTGGTCTCCGAGCGTCAGGCCTTCGTGTCCTCCCCCTTCACCTCTCTCACCTCTCTCGCACACTTTGCAACCAGGTGCTCCCCTACTCGCTGCTGACACCTCTTCCAAGACTACCGACCCAAAGGCCTTTTCTCAGTCCCAATTCTCTTCGTCTTCTCTTTTTTTCAAACCTTCTCTTAGCCCTTATTTATTGGACGACTCAACATCGACGGATACGGATCAACAGACACTAGCTGAACCAAAAGCCCCCTAACGACAGGTGTCCCAGAAGTTCTTTCAAATCCAGGTGACTTACAACTTCTCCGCCCTGCAGGCCAACGGCCCACCGCCCTCTCCCGACCTCCCTCCTTCCTTCCCCCCCCCCCCAAGCTAGCATCAGGTGGTCACTTTCCTAGTAGAAACCTTGGGGAGAAAGGGCACCCAGGAGGAAGAGATTTATTCACGTCGCAGCGGCAGGCGGGGAAGGTGTCACGAAGCTTCAGGGGTGACCCCAGGATCTCGCCCTACGTGGCAGAAGCTCCCCGGGACCCCCCACGGGCAGTACAGGAAGCATCGTGGTGGCGCCGGCACCTGAGCCGGCGTCTCCGGCCAGCACGGCCTTCGCAGGCCCTTTGCCCTGCGCTGGGGTTCAGGCAGACCGCCCCACAGAAGCCCGGCCGCATCGGCCTCACGCGCGCCGGTCCCCCGCCCAGGGGCAGACCCGGTCCGCCGCCGCAAGACGCCGATCGGCGCTCAACACCGCTCCCAGCCCGGAATTGAAGGTCCGGGCAATGCTGCCAGGCCCGGCGTACTCACCCCAGGCGCAGCGGAGCCGAGCTGGCCCGAGAAAGTGAAGGCAGCGAGACGTGATCTCGGGTACCGCCCCTGCCGCTCCGAGGCCCACAGATCCCGGCCCCGCCCCCGACCACCCGCTATCTCTGTGGCTCCGCCCTGCGGGCGGGGCCTCCGGTTTCCCGGTAACCGGGCGCTCGGCCCCCGGCCAGAGCGACTCCACCCTGGCGAAGGGGGCAGCTCCAGGAGGGGAAAGGACCCGCGGACTACGATCCTTGGGAATATCCTAAAGCTAGGTGTCAACACTGCGTTAGGTGCTGGGCTCCTCCCAAACTGCATCTCTGTAAATGCTAACGGAGATCTGTGAAGGAGATACGATCCTTCCCATTTGACCGAGTACAAAACGGAGGCTCCACCCACAGGGTAGAACTAGAGCTCCAAGAACCAGCCCACCCCAAAAGGGGCAAATCATAGGATGAACGGGTGCTGGGGTTCTGGAGAACTAAGCAGAAGGTCTGGGACTGTGCTGAGGTTTGTAGAAGGTCTGTGAGGACATCACGATCTGAGACAGAAACAATGATAGCAAACCCTAGCCCTCTGCTTCGAACCCGCAGAAAAACTAAAGGCGGGAAGAGCACAAAACAGGTGCCAGGTCACTTGTGTCTGAACAACAACACAGAACTTCACTCTGGGGGACAATTTCAGTGTAGTTCCCCAAAATGCAAGTTTAACAATAAGACCACTAAGGCTCTCCCTGGTGGCGCAGTGGGTTGAAGCACAGCACTAAGAAGCTAAAGCCATTCTGCATGAGTTCAATCCTTGCCCTGGAGGGGCACTGTGGGCACTGACCACATGGCGTGGCAGTCCTCTCCTGACCTGACCACTGCTCCCCTCAGCAGTGTACTTTGTCAATCTGCCTGTTCTGCTCCCCACTCTGTCTCTGGTGAATCTTCTCACCGCCCCTGCACCTCTGGCTTGTACCCCAGTTCTGTACGCATAAATAAATAAATCCTAAAAACAAACAAAAAAAAACCCACTAATCATAGGAGGCCACACATAAGTGACAGCAGGAATAATATCTAACAGATCTAGACTCTCAAGGGTATCAGACATTGAAAGTGTCTGACAGAGAATACAGAAGTGTTCGTTGTTGCTTTTTGAAAATTTTAAAAGAGAAAAAATGGTCTCTAGAGATTACTTACCAAATACATAGGAGAAAGGATACCTTTATGTTGGAGAAATCTGGCAGACACCACCTCCACCAAGTAGTTAGTTAATCTCACCTGTATACAAATTAACATCACATCTGAGGCGATCCTCTGAGCATGACATGACCCTATTGTTTTCCTCCCAAGAACTGGGAGGAATTGGGATTTAAAAATGAGGAAGCAACCACACAAGTCAAAAGTAAGGGACCTTCTTCAAAAACAACCCACTTTAAAAATATCAATGTCATGAAAGACAAGGGGAAATAGGCAGCTGTTTTGCATTAGAGGTGACTGAGGGTGACCATCTCAGTTCTGGCATTTATAAACAATGCTGAGGGCCCTCCCTGGTGGTCCAAAAGGTTAAAGCATAGTTACTGTGAAGCTGTCCACAGCCACTGCAGCACAAGTCTGATCCCTGACCAGGTAAGGTGACACAAATGACACAGGAGACCTCGCCTGTCTTGCCCTCTGCTCCCCTCAGTAGTGTATTTCAGTCAATCTGACTGTTTTGCTCCCTACTCTGCTCTGGTTAGTCCTCTCACCACCCTGGCACTTCTGGCCTGTACCCCAGTTCTTGTATGCATAAATAAATCAATCTTTAAAAAAAATAAAAATGAAAAAATAAATAAATAAAAAAATAAAAATGAAAACAGGGCCCTCCCTGGTAGTGCAGCCGGTTAAAGCACAGCACCAAGAAGCTAAAGCCATTCTGCATGAGTTCAATCCTTGCCCCGGAGGTGACCCACATGGTGCGGCAGACCTCTCCTGACCCGCCTGCTGTTCCCCTCAGCAGTGTATTTTGTCCATCTGCATGTTCTGCTCCCCACTCTGTCTCTGGTGAATCCACTGCCCCTGCACCTCTGGCCTGTACCCCAGTTCTGTAAGCACAAATAAATAAATCTTTTAAAAATAATAAAAACATTTACAGGGGTGGAGTGGGGAATGGAACAAAAAACAGTGGGGAGAGGAAAATGCACTGGACTATGGTGATGGCACACGGGTGACTTGGTGATGGGAAGCCCAAGGGGATTACAACTGAGATGAAAAAATGCACAAAATGATGTAAAAATAAACTATTATATTATTCAAAAAAAAAAGAAAGAAAGAAAAGAAAAACAATCTTGAATTCTTTGACCTTCCTCTTACTGAGAAAGCATATATATATTTCCCTCCCTTTGAAACTGGACTGGCTGTGGCTGCTAAGACAAACAGCAGAGATTGGTAGTAACACTACGCCGATTCTGTGTTCCATCTTCCAAGGACAGTTTAAACTTACTCTTCCACAACACTCCATTTTGTTAAAGCTGTTAGAGGCCTTTGCAGATTTAAAGGTCGGAGAAATATACCCCCACTTCTTGGTGAGAGGAAGATCAAATAATTTGAGGCTATTTTTAATATCCTGCATTGTACCTGCTCATTTCCAATGGTCTCAATAATTAAGAGCATACTATAACTCTTTCCCAATGTTAGGTCATACATGAAAGAGTTTCCAGGGAGGGCTGTATTTCCCCGTCCGCATTCATATGTTGAAGACATAATTCCCAGAACCTCAGAAATGACTACATTTGGAAACTGGGCCTTTGAAGAGGTAATTACATTAAATTAGGATTGTTGTATTGGTCCCTAACCCACTATGACGGGTATCTTTATAAAGAAGGGGACATTAAGACACAGACAACACAGACAGAAGTGACCATGTGAGGGCCTCAGGAGAATGCACCTCCTACAGATCCTATAGAGAAGCCATAAAGGAACCAAATCTGTTAACACCTTGAATTTACAGCCTCCTGATTGTGAAAAGCATGCGATCTGTGGTATTTTTTCATGGCAAACTTAGCAGACTACTACAGTCTTCTTTAATCTGACAGTCACCCACAGCTGAGACTTCGGACATCTTCTAGCAGAGATGAACCCTTTTGACTGTGCATTATCTGAATTCCTGAATTCCCTGACAGAATCATGTGATGTTTTAGTAATAAACTAGGATTCTAAGCCTCTGAATTTTTTGTGTTATTGATGTTATAATAGATAATTACAGCAAACTACATATTATATGGAAATATTCTATTAATCTTAAATTTCTTAAATTCTACCATTGTATTAGGTTTATATAAGCAAATGAATTTTTACTTAAGATTTATTTAGTGATAATGTATCATGATGTTCATAATTTATTTCATATACTTCAGTTAAAATGGGGGGGGCATGGTGGGGGGCGGGAGGGAGGACATCCCTGGTGGTGCAACAGGTAAATGCACAGCACCATGAAGCTATTGCAGCTATCACAGCCACTACAGCATGAGTTCGATCCCTGGCCAGGGAGGTGACCCACATGGCACAACAGACCACTCCTGTCTCACCTCGGCAGTGTGTTTCAGTCAACCTGCCTGCTGTGCTCCCCACTCTGTCTCTGGTGGATCTCTCACTACCACCACCCCCACACCTCTGGCCTGTACCCCAATTCTTGTAGGCATCAATAAATAAATTGTTTTTAAAAAGTGTGTGTGGGTGAGAGATGGCAAGCACAAATGTGGCAAAATGTTACAGTAGGTGAATCTAGACAAAGCATATACAGGTGTTCCTTGAATAATTTTTAAACTTTCCTTAATCTTGACATTTTTCAAAAAGAAAAGTTGAATCAAAAAGAGAGGAAAAAGCAATCACTAGACTTCTTCTGATAAAGATGAAGTCACAAGAGTTAGATTAACACTCCACCTGCAGGGACTGAAGAAAACAGACAGAATATAAAAAACAACAGTTTTCAGGATACTCTATACCAGTCAAAAAAGGACAGTGGTCTCTGAGAAATGGAAACAAATATGATGAACCCTACAGTTGTCCCAGTTTCCTCCCCTGAAAGAGTGGCAGGGTGAGGAGTGGAATCAGACAGAGCCTAGCAGATGCCCTGAGTTAAGGAAACAGACCTGGTGTCCAAAGAGACTTCTAATCCCAGAGGAACTAAGTTAAAAATCAATAAATGAAACATTCTTGGAAAGTCCCCAAATATTTTCAAACTAAACAACACCCTACTAAATAACCAAGAGATCAAAGAAGAAATCAAGAGAAACCGAAAAGAATTTTGAACTGGATGAAAATGAAAACAACATATCAAAACTTCTAGATGTTATTAACATAGAACTTAAGTGAGTGCTACATAGCTATATTAGAAAAGAAGATGTTCTTTAATCAATGATTTTTGGCTTTTACCCTACAAAATAAGAAATAGGAGAGCAAGTTAAAAATAAATAAGCAGGAAAAGGACAAAGCAGAAATCAATAATGAAGTAAGAAAAAAAAAAGAGAGAGTCAAATAAAGCAAAACCTGGCTCTTTGAGAAGATCAATAGAATGGATTATTCTCTAGGTAGGCCAATCAGGAAAAAAGAAAAAACACAAATTACCAGTAGTGGGAATTAGGGAGGTGACATCACCACAGATTCTAAAAGCATAAATACAAAACATTGAAGAAGAAACTATTAAGAATAACTTTTATGCCAATAAATTTCACAGTTTAGATAAAATGGACAAGTCCTTGAAAGACAAAATTTACTACCACTCATTCAAGATAAATAGCTCTATATTAAGAAAATTTAAATTATAGTTAAAAGGCTTTTCATACAGAAAACTCCAGACACTGTTAGCAGCAGAAACAATACTAACTTTACACAAGTTAACATTTGTACTAGGTCTAATTCTACATAGGGAGAAAGAATATTAATTCTATGTAAGATTATCCAAAAGAAATTGAAAGAGGAAAGAGTACTTCCCAACTCATTCTATGAGGTCAGCATTACCCCAATATGACACCCACACAAAGATATTACCAAAAAATGGAACTAATCCCATTCCCCTGGTTTATAGTTGTTCATTGTTTTCATTTTTACATTTGTTTCTCTTTTAT